GTTTCGCCCCAGCAGTTAGAGTCCTGTGGAACCCAATAAAATGGAGGCACTGATCAAAAATTTAATGGGCCCTGTTTACAGAATGGTTTTAAACAATTAGTACTTTGTCACTTAAAGAATTAAAATGTATAATTCCTATCCCATAATGAGATCTTTGAGTTGTAACACATTTTATATTAACACTGTCATCACACAGAGCTTTTTTAAAAAGCATTTTAACATAATTCTTTAAAGACCCTCTTTAAATATTAAAATCCTATTTAATGTTTTTAACATTGGTTTTTATCCATTCTGTGTTGCATATTTCTCAATCTGAAGCATGTATGGCCAGGGTTTCTCAATCTTTGACCATCCAGATATTTCGGACATAAAATTTCTGAGTCCCTGCTGGCTGTGGCTTAGGGAGACACAATATAAAATATCTAGAGCAGTGGTTCCTAACCTAGGGTTCCTAGGTGTTTTTGAACTAACGCTCCCAGAAGCCTCCATCATTACTTGTGTTGGCCAGGAATTTAGGGAGTTGTAATCCAAAAACATCTGAGAACTCAAGGTTGGGAACTGTTGATCCAGAGAGTTAAAAATTGGGAAACCCTTCTGCATGCTAGTCTTCCCCAACCTGGTGCTCTGCAAATATGTTGGACTAAATTTCCTCCTCAAGCAAACTGGCATAGTGGGAGCACATTTGGAGAACACAAGCTGGGTAAAGCGGTATATTCTTTATGTACTTGAAAGTAAACACAACTGAACTCTTAACGTAATTCTGACTGAATTACAGTGGTGCCTCGATAGATGATAATAATCCATTCCACTGAAATCGCTGTTTAGTGAAATCATCATCTAGCAAAAAGCATTTCCCCATTGGAATGCATTGAAACCTGTTTAATGGGGAAGAATTGTCGTCTAGCGAAGATCGGCCATAGGAAAGCCGCTTTGCGAACCGCCGATCAGCTGTTTAAATCGCTGTCTTGCAAAGCTTAGGTCCCGAAAACACCTGTTTTGCCAATGCAGAGGGAGCTGTCAAAATCGTTGTTTAGCGAAAATTGGTTTGCGAAGCAGGGACCAAACGTTGTCCAGCGAAATTCCCCTATAGGAATTACTGTTTTGCGAATCGCTATAGCAATCACAAAAAGTCAATGTCTAGCGAAAAAACTGTCATGCGGGGTAACTGTCTAGCGAGGCACCACTGTACTTACATCTGAATAGACATGCATAGGATTCTTTAATCAGGTACTATTGACATGTGTATGTTGGTGTTTATAGACACAGGTACAAAAGTCTTTGACCTCTTCATGTTTTATTATGGCAACTAATAAATTAAATCTTATCTAACATTAGAATGGGGCTCTTAAAATTGGATATAATTTCAGCCTTTTATTATGCTGGTTTCTAGCCTAGAGCTTGATTAGTCTGTATCTTAATTTGTTTTGTGGGTCTGAGTTTGAAGCATTTGTTTTTTTTCCAAGTAAGTTAAGTTACTTGTTAAAGTATAAGAAAATATAATTTGCCGTCATAAATTTTTAATGTAAGTTTTTAAAAGGAATTCATTCTGTTGCTTATTGCACTACTTATTAGCATTTACATTAAATCTGAAAGATGTTCCTTTCTATCAACTGTTGAAAAATAAGGATTCTGTGCTACTCATAATTCCTTCTCCATTGACTGAAAAATATTGTCCTTTATGAGAACTAATCAGTTCTTATAAAGTTGCCCCAGCTCTTATTGGCCTCTGCAGAGTGAATTTGATTTTAATCAAATTGATTTAGATCTCAATTTAAATTTTTAAAAATTGGATTTTTTGATTATTTAAATTTTAAAAAATCAATTTAAATTTTAAAAAATCATTTTAAAAAATCATTTTTAAAATTTAAACATGATTTAAATCCATTTGATTTTACGCACTCTGAGCTGCTGCAAGAAATGCAGCAAGCAGAGTACGAACGTGATGCTCTAGTTGCTGCAGTAACTGCTCCCAGTGTTTGTGTAGCAACAATGCCCCTCTGCACTCTACATAGGACAAACAGGACTGTACAAAAGAATTAATGGACACAAATCACATATCAGGAAGGGCAATATACAGGAACCTGTCTCAAATCATTTTCATTTACCTGGACACTTCGTACAAGAGCTGAATCATCCTTGTCTTAGAACTGCAGAGCTGGAAGGGACCTCTGTGGGTCCTCGAGTCCAGCCCCTGTCAGGGAGGTGCATTGGGGAACTGAAGTCCCAAACTCTGGCTCTGTAGCCAGATCGCTAAATCACTGAGCTATTCAGCAGTTCACATGCTCTCTAAAATGTTTTGAGAACATTAGAGCTGTTTGAAGGGTTATAATCTTCTGTTTCTGTATTTCATTGTTTCTTCATAGTTCCATTAGTGAATACAAATTCATTTTGAATTAATTTCTACTTCAGTGCCACTTTGTAAACTCAGTTTTGTGGTTACTCCCATGCTTGTGAGAGGAAGTTCTAGCTGTGAAACAGTATCTGAGAGCAAATAATGTGTGTCAAGATTTCCCACATGTTATTCTCCAAGTGGAGTTTCTTCAGCACTGGAACTTGGCCTGTTTTATGTTGGCTCGCTTGCACAGAGACGTATCCCCAGTAGCAATTTGGAACAAGCGTAGCGCTGTCTGAGCCATGTCAGTTTTAAAATTCTGCAGGGGAGGTCCTGAAGTCTAGGAGGATGGGCATACTCTGCCAAGTATTAATTTACTTCTTCTGTTTGTGTGCGCGCAAATGTATGCTCTTAGTTATAAGGAGGTTGATTAACCAGATCTTTTGGATTCATGCTACAGTAAGCACAAAGTGGCGTGAGAATTAAACTTCAGTGGGGGAAACATCCTTGCCTTTTAAAAGTTCAAGTGTCTTGAGTAAATAATTCTTCTTTCCAACTAAGTTTGTTTTGAATGGCAAGTCATACCCTGCTGCCATGTTTACACTGTTTCAGAATTTAAAATTTAATCAACTCTTGCATATTAGATAATCTGTGGAAGTAATGTGTAGGATGCTTTATAGCCTTCTCTCATTCCTTCTTGCACAAACCCTTGGAACTGTGTCTTTATAATTCACTTTTGCACCTGGAAAGAAAGAGAGGAGAGCTGACCCATGTGCTAAAATGTCTTAACAAGATTTGAAGTCTGTTTTCCAATAGGCGTGCTAAAACTCTAGGTTTCCCCATTGCTTTCGTTAACAAGGTATCGCTTCTGCTCCAGGGAGCCGCAAAAAGCAAAGCCCACAGTGAACTCGGAAGCATGAGCTAGCTCAGGAATGAGGCACATATGGCCTTCCAGATCTTCTTAGACAGCGTCTCCCGTCACCCTAAATCACTTGAGCCAAAAGTAAGGGATGATAAGAGTTGTGGTCTAGCAATATCTGGATAGCCACGTGTTCTCCATCCCTGAGACACATATTACAAGGCTATGAGTTGAGGCAGAAATGAGTTTCATCCTAGATTCTTCTGCTACATGTTCTTTTCTCAAAGAAAAAAATAATACATATTTCATATAGGGGAAAGGCAGCAGCTCCAGTGGTAGAATGGCGCATGTTTTGTCTGCTAAAGGTCAGAGGTTCAGTGTCTGGAAGGGCTGGGGGAAACTCCTTTCAGGAATCCTGGTGAGCTGTAGCCTTTTCACGTACAGATGTGAGGGTGGAGGAGGGGAACCAGTTTTACTGTGGGTCTTCACATATCTAAAGAATCATCTTCTTATGTTCCAATATGTGGAGGCTTGTCCACAACAGCTTCCATACATTCCTGTGATAGGTAAGGTCTGCAAATCGGGAAGCTTTACAAAAGTCAGGTATTTCCCTTCCCACTGCCTGCTGACTTCTGTGAATGTATTTGTAGGTCAGCAGGTATTAGGCCTCTCATCCAAAATAAAGAAAAATGCTGATAGATGTCACTAGAGCTTCATGGCACAGTGGTTAAATTGCTGTACTGCAGCCAAAACTGTGCTCACGACCCAGAGTTCAATCCCAGGTAGCCGGCTCAAGGTTGACTCAGCCTTTGGGGGGGGGGGATGTGTAGCCTGCGTAATTAATTTGTAAACCACCCAGAGAGTACTTTAGATGCTATGGAGTGGTACATAAGTAGAACACTTTGCTTTTCGGCTTTTGCTTTTATAATATCTAAACCGTACAGCTTGATCAAATAGCTCAGTCCACCACGGTGTTCTGTGCTATAACAGGCTCTAAACCGTACAGCTTGATCAAATAGCTCTGTCCACCACAGTTTTCTGTGCTACAACAGGCAAGACAATGGTGTGTGTGTGTGAGGAAGTGGATTTGCAGTGATCTATCATGATTCCATCCCTCTCACCAGATGTCGCATTTCCCAGTTCCCTGGTTTTGAATGTTTTTAAAAATAAATACCCGGAACAGAATAGGGATCCTCTTGGTGCACCGCCCACCCCATGGTGCAACAGCCTCTCTTCCTGAGCTGACTTGATATGGGGGTGGTGTTGGAATCCCCTTAGCTTGTTGTGTTGGGGGACTTCCATGCTGATGCATTTCTATCAGGAGTGGGACAAGACTTCATGACAACCATGGGTCTGTCCCAAATGGTCCTCCACTCATGCTACAGGGCACATTCTAGACCTGGTCTTCTGTACTGGAGTAGATGTTGGTGACCTGGTGCGGAGAAACTCTGTGTAGTTACATTGCCTTGGACAGACCACTATCTGGTGGGACTAGGTCTCACTGGAAATCAGAGCCTTTGCAGAGGTGGGGACCAGATAAAGATGGTCCGCCCCAGAAGACTGATGGATCCAAATGATTTCCTGGTGGCTCTTGGGAAGTTTCGTGGCACCGTAGCAGATGATTCTGTCGAATCCCTGGTTGATTTCTAGAACGGCAAAATGACACATGTCTTCTGAAGCCTTGGAAGGCCATTTCAGCTAGCCTGAGATTAATAGAACTAGCTGTGTTCCTGTTTGTTTTCATGCATTTCTTCCATACAATTGCGGTAAAGATTTTCTGCATTTAATTTTGTTTCTATTTTTCATCAGAAAATGAAGAGCTTGGCTCAAAGACGTCAGTCGGCACCATCCTTAGTTTTCAGCAAAGCACTGAACAAGTCCAGAATGAGTGCCAGGTGAGGTGGAATTTGTTCTATTTTTTACATTGCTGACTATACTTTTGTTGTTAAGTTTTCCTGGTTCATATGGATGATGAATCTGTGAACCAGATGTGATTAAAATTTCATAAATCAGGCTTCCCAAAATTTAATGCTAATACTGTACATAGTTTCTGATTCTGTCTTGTGAACCAGAGACAATTTCTTGTTATGAGAGGCTTACAAGTACGATGAATAAAAAGTGGCTTAGAAATTGAGGCTTGTAGAGCTAAGAAAATTACCTAAAATAGTGGAAATTGTGTATTTTTGGTAAATTAATTCAATTTATCCAAGTTATCCAAGCTGAGATAACATGCACTTTTTTCACACTGAAAATGTTATAAAATAAACAAAGTTCAGGAAAAGACCTCAATCCCATTGTTTTTCTGAAAATCTGTGTACGAACAATGAACACATTATAGTAGGACCATGGTATTCATAGGGGATTGGTTCCAAGCCTCCCTCCAGATGCCAGAAAATGCGTATGTAGAGAATGCCATACATTGCATGGTCTCTAAATCCCTCTAGTGGCCAGGTCTGGTAAATACATTGTGGAAATACATATAAATACTGTCCCATTGTTTTTCTGAAAATCTGTGTACGAACAATGAACACATTATAGTAGGACCATGGTATTCATAGGGGATTGGTTCCAAGCCTCCCTCCAGATGCCAGAAAATGCGTATGTAGAGAATGCCATACATTGCATGGTCTCTAAATCCCTCTAGTGGCCAGGTCTGGTAAATACATTGTGGAAATACATATAAATACTGATTTTGTGGGGAGTATTTAGTATTTTGATCGGTATTTTCAGGCAGTGAATAAGTGAATCAGCAGATTTTGATTCCGCAGATAGGGAGGGTTCCTACTGTACCTTAAATGCTAGGTTTGAAGATTGTTTGGAAGATAGTTTGCTTTTTAAAAAATTTATTAACACTTCAGTTAATAAGCATTGATGTTTAAGCAAATACTGTACAAGAATATGTATACTATACAGTGGTGCCTCACTTGACGAGGATAATTGGTTCCATTCAAATCGCTGTTAAGTGAAATCCTCGTCAAACGAAATGAAAAAGCCCATTGAAATGTATTGAAAACTGGTTCAATGTGTTCCAATGGGCAAAATACCTCAGCGTCCAGCGAAGATCCTCCATAGGGTGGCCATTTTCTGGTGCCTGTAATGCAAGGAGCGGGGAGCCATTTTGCACAGCAGATGGACATTTTGAAACCCGACGATCAGCTGTTTTTGATCGCCGTTAAGTGAAAAATTGGTTCCCGAAGCAGGGAACCGATCAACGTTAAGTGAAAAAAGCCCATTCATTCATCGTTTAGTGATTGCAATAGCGATTGCAAAAATAATCGTTAAGCAATTTCCTCGTCTAACGAGGTAATCATCAGGCGAAGCACCACTGTATAATGTTATTGGTTTAGTTTAATAAAACAATTTAAGTAGTTCTCCTAAATGACTAAACAACAACAACAAAAAATCAAATATGAGTGATTAATCTATTAAACTAAAATCAGTTCTGATTTACCTGTTTTATTAATCTGACAGGTTAGTATTCTGAAATCTTCATCTGGTTGCAAATACTAAATATAACTACCAGCAAGAATGGGTCTTTACATTTAAAATCATGATTTAAACCAAGTCTTACTGACTAGTGATTTAAATCATCATTTAAATTGTGATTTAAATTGACTTGATTTAAATCAGATTCATGCTGTTGGGGACTGAGATTTCCTTAAGGCTAAGTTCTGTGGGACGTGGTGGCACTGCGGGTTAAACTGCAGAAGCCTCTGTGTTGCAAGGTCAGAAGACCTGCTTGTCCTTGCTCCTGCCAACCTAGCACTTCAAAAGCATGTAATTGTGAGTAGATAAATAGGTACCACCTTGGTGAGAAGGTAACGCCATGTGACCGTAAAAACTGACTTCGGACAAATGCTGGCTCTATGGCTTGGAGACAGGGATGAGCACTGCCCGCTAGAGTCGGACACGACTGGACTAAAGAGGGAGAAGTGGAACTGGTAGTAGGGACAAGTGAATGTCAAGGGGAACCTTTACCTTAAGTTCTTAAGCCTAGGGTAAGGTTATTCTTTAGTCTCCTAGATTGCCTTGGAAGTGTCTGCTTTTCTCAATAAGGATGACATTTACAGAATGGTGATGGGCAGAACATTCACGTATTGTAGCCTGAAAGAGGGAGAACTGGAACTGGTAGTAGGGACAAGTATGATCATGGAAGTCCTGCCTCCAACACCCTGCCCAATGTTAGTCATACCTGCGTGTGTTTATCACAAAGGTCTGAAGAGAAGCTTGTGAACATGTTCAGTTGAA